CTGATGACTCCCTGGCTTCTCCTTGAAAATCCTTCCTGCATCTACCAAATGGCCTCTCTGGCACACCAGCTCCATCACACCTGCTGGCACCACATCCTACTGCAAAAAAAAAAAAAAATTAATAAAAATAAAGAAGGGGGAAAAAAAAAAAAGTTTCCAATACTTCCTTTGCTCTGAAGCAGATATCAGCACTTGTGAAACCGTAAGTCTGAACCAGGCAGCACCATGGAAAATATTTCTTTCCTTGCTTCAATAAAATGTCTATCACTGGCATTTCTGTGGTTGAACCTTGGCTGTGTTTGTCGGGGAAGACGGGGATTTTTCCTTGGGTCTCTTTGCTCCTCAAGCAGTGGTGCTGGTGGCTTGTAGAGATGAGCATTCTGGAGGTATACAGGCTGAGACCTTATTGCTCTCTACAACTGCCAATGGGAGGCTGCAGCGAGGTGGGTGTTGGTCTCTTTCCTCAGGCGAGAACACAGGACACAGGGAAATGGTATGAAATTTGATTAGAGAGGTCTCTGTGTGGACCTTATAGTGGCCTTACAAGACCTGAAGTGGGCTTATGGGAAAGCTGGGGAGGGACATTTATAAAGGGCATGTAGAGATAGGGTGAGGGTAAATGGCTGTAAAGTGAAAGAGGGTAGATTTAGATAAGATATCAGGAAGAAATTCTTTACTGTGTGGATGGTGAGACACTGGAACAGGTTGCCTAGTGATCCTGTGGGTGCCCCATCCCTGAAAGCATTTGTAGAATCATAGAATCACAGAATGGTTGGGTTGGAAAGGGCCTCAAGGATCGTTAAGACCCAACCTCCCCTGCCTCCAGCAAGGATGCCAACCTCCACATTTAATACTAGTCCAGGTTGACCAGGATCCCATCCAACCTGGCTTGAACACCTCCAGTGACTTTCAAAGTCAGGCTGGATGGGGCTGTGAGCAACTTGGTCTAGAGGGAGGTGTCCCTGTGTATAGCGGGAGGGTTGGATGTAGATGATCTTAGGGGTGCCTTCCAACCTAAACCATTACATGATTCTATGATTCATTCATGTTTTGCCAGAGGAGGTTTAGACTGGACTTTACCCAATAATTTCTTCATGGAAATGTTTTGTATTGGAGGCTGCACATGGAACTGGTGGAGTCCCCATCCCTGTAGATGTTAAAAAGACTTAGGGATGTGGCCCCAAGGAACGTGGTCTGGTGGTGGCCTTGGTGGTGTTAGGTGAGTGTTGAACTTGAAGATCTTAACAGTTAGAGAATCATGGAATCATAGAATGGTTGGGACTTGAAAGGACTTTTAAGACTACCTAGTTCCTACCCTCCTGCCTTAGGTGTAAGCTATGTTTCTCCTTTTCCAGTCATTGTGAACTTCACTAGACTGCCATCACCTTTCAAATATGGTGGATGATGTTACTTACAACCTGAATGATTATTCTACGGTTCTATGATCTCACCACTCATGCCCTGCCACACTCCCTGGAAACAGGGAAGTTATTTTCCCCTTGTTCCACAATGGCTCCTTTCTAGTGATACTCGTGCAGTGACCATGGTATCTTTGTCAGAGATGAAACCCTGTTTCTCTCCATGATGGGTGAGAGTGTCAAACAAGCACACATTCTGCTAGTTTCTAGGCTGATTTTTGAAGATATTTTCATATTATAGTATTTTTCTAATGAGATGTCGGAGAGATTCCATATTTTCTGTCTCTTTTTCCCCATCATCACTACCTAGCAGTGTAGAAAATGCTGAAGTTAACTCCATCTCCTTCCTTCAGCTGCCCTAGAGGCATTCAAGGCATTTCACTCCTGAGGGCACCTCATGCGAATGAAAACCAGCAGCATTTTACATGACTTTAGAGCCCTGATAGTAGCTCAAACTAGAAAAAAGGCACAAGGAGAGAAAGAGAAGGAGACCAGCAAACACATTCTCACAGCACAATCCTTACTGCTGCTGTACAGTAACAGCAAAGAGATGGACTTTGTTCTTCTAGTCTGATCCATTTATCTCTGAAATCAAAGATGAGAAGAAAGGTGATCCGTCCATGGGAGTTATAAACTCATGATATGATTTCTCTCTGGTTACTCAAGAAAACTACACGACATCATCATCAGCTCAGTCAGATAGCTTTTGTGTACTGTTTGATGTATGTGACCATGGATGTATTTATTACTGACTGAGATGGTTGGTAGCCGGCTCAAGGCTTTATCTGTTAGCTAAAATGCAGTACATTCCTTACTGATAAACTTACAAATATGGAACATGACTTAAGCACAGGCTATCCTCCATTTAGTGGATCTATTTTGGCAATACAACAGCTGGTAACAGCTTTTGCAACTTATCTAGAGCAATCTGAATTTCTATTCTGTACAACCCATGGTGGCATCGAAATACCTCATTGGTTACGTCTAAGAATTTAGAATTTAGTTCAATACACATGAAAGGGGTTAAGGGATTACATTATCACACAACTGAGAAGCAATCTATGGTTTTCTGGGCCGGCAAACCATCACTGTTGTTCATTGCAATAAACAACAGGAGGTAAGGGGTGGCAGCAGACAGGTATTCCATGTAGTAGCATTTTAAACAGGAGTTACAATGCACAGGCTCTTCTTAATACTTGCCTTTTTTTTTTTTTTTCACCAAAAAACTATTAGAAATCTCCTTCTCCATCCTTCTGGCAGAGGTATTTCAGTTGTAATGATAGGAATGGCCATGTAGAATCTGTAATTATATCGATGTCAAGACTGCCCAGCATTAAGGCCAAGTCCCTGGCATTAGTTGGATGTAGGAACTTGAACATGGTGAAAACCAACAGTGCATCTGTGTTTCCTTGAGGAATCAGGTTGAGTAATAATAACAGTTGGCAAGCTAACCACAAACTCTTGGCAAATTGTGAAGTAACTGCATCTTATTTCACTTTGCTTCCCTCCACTTTTCTAAATTGTGGTCAGAAGTTCATGGATTCACCAGAAATCTATCTGTCACTTCTTTTATACTGAAAAAAAATCATTTTCAAAAGTATGTAGAAAATAAAAAGATATCTTGATCATATCGAGATATGAATTTAAGAGAAAACATCTGTAAGCATATTTCCATATGTGTGTGTGTGTCCATGCTTATATGCACAGATATACATTTATGTATGCTTAAGAAATTGACGTCAAAGTATGGAATAAATTACTACACAGTAACTAAATTGAGGACCCAATTAGCAATTAAATATCTCTGTTAAGTTCTGAGAATAAATGATCTTTAAACCACCATATCATTTGTAGAGGATTTTTGTCAAGCAGATTCAATTCTCATTGAAAATAAAATATTTATCGTATAATATTTTGATATAGTAACAGGTGTCATACTAAAATGGAACATGAACAGTGTTTTATTGGTTGAAATGAGGTTTAAAGTAAAATAGGATATGAAAAAGTACTTGGTGTCTTTGGATAGTTATTGGGCATGCCAAAGTCAGCAAGGACTTGGTGCGAGGGAAGATTGATAGATTGGAATAGACTCACAGATCTCAGAGATTGTGCCCTATGTTCAGATTTTCACTGTATGGATTTGCAGATTGAGTTTGGATTGGATTCTGGTTCCAAATAATGCCATAAAACAAAGTGAGTTTGAGTGGTTGCTTGGAAGTGCAGCTGTGCCCTCAAAATGGAGCCAGTTTCAAACTGGATGGCTTATGGATTTTGAGTTTGAATATCTACAAGTAATAAGATCCTATAAATGCACTGAAAACCCATTCAAGCATTTGACAACAATGACTGTGAGAGGTTTTTACCTTACACAGAATTGGAACCTCGGTTATACTTTGTGCCTGATATCTCTCATCCTTCCTCTGTGAACCTCAGATGAGAGTGTGCCTCCATCTTCTCTATCGTGACCATTTCATGAGCAGCAACTAAACTCTCTTTCAAGTGTCTTTTCTCCAAGCTGAACAAAGATGAGTCCCTCAGCCTCTCCTCATCTTGCTGATCCAACCAAGCCCTTGGTGGTGATGTTGCCCACACATGGGTCCATGCCCCATTAGGCATTGGAGCACCTTCAGAGAACCTTTGGAGTACTTGATAGCAAAACTCCTGGTTCACTTTCCTCCTGAGGAATCCAGTTTGCATGCAACCTCTCTAAAAACTGAACCAGAATGAAGACTATCAGGGTTTTACTTCAAAACTACGGTAACACAATTTGAACCTTCATTGTGGCTACTTTTCCAGAAATGTTGGTGTTCACTGTGGACAAAAAGGCAAGGCAGGTGTTAGGAGCTGGGGGGGAAAAAAAGCTGGAAACAAAAGAATAAGCACAACTGGGCACTGTGCAAATTCAAGTTGCCTTTTGGTACCCCCAACCTGAGGGTACAGAAGCAGCCTCTGGCTCTGTATTTTCGTAAATTGGTGCATTTTCCATTAATTGAAAGGCCATAGGGTGACATGACCAGCATGAATCCACTGTTTCTGTACGTTTTGTATTCTTTACCAATTCTTGTTCTTACTGGACGCTGAGCTGATGGACTGGGTACTAACCCAGTGGGTTGATGGTTGATCTAAATGATCTTAGTGGCCTTTTCCAACCTTAATAATTCTCTGATTCTATGAATCTAAAGGTCTTTTATTTTAATTTCCTGTGTCCACTCCGTGTTCCTCTATTCTGTATTTATTGAACAGAAAATAAACAAATTGGGAGAGCAGAGAGGCACACAGTGCAATGTGCATATTGCAATGGATTAAATTGCTCCTACCCAGAAGAAGTTCAACGTATGTCCCAATACGTTTGACCCAGACCACGGTGGCTTAACATACCTTACATAAATTGGTGTGTCACAAGAGGTATTGCATGAGGAACCTGGGATTTTCCAATAGAAAATCTTTGTAGGTTCAGAGACCAACAGTGCTTTTTGACAGGGAAGTGAGAAGAAGGTTGGGTTAGAAGTCATCAAAAAGATGGGTCACTTTTTGATTGGCTTGATGTGTACTTACTGGAAGGAGAAAGCAAGTATCACTACTCACAGCAAATATGTTATAAAAGAGGCTCTCAGTCCCACAGCCAAAGCCCTCTGGAGGGAAGAGACCAAGAGGTGTTCTTGCTTGGCTTCTGGGCTCATCTAATATCTGGTAACTTCTCAGTTCTTTTCAGTCTTTCTTTTAATGTCTTCTGTGTTTTTGGAAAAAAAAAAAAATATATATATATGTATATATATATATGGTGTGTATATATATATATGTATGTGTGTATTATTAATCTGAATTTGTAGGCTTCTAAAAAAAATTGGATGTGAGTTTACCAGCATTACAAAAGTTGAATAAGTAGTTTAAATATGTGCTATTATCTTTGTAGGCTTTGATAAAGATACCCCACTTGTTAATTCTAAGGAGAAAAATGGAGTGAGGTCAGGCTGAAAAGCTGGTGGTCTCTTAGAAACCAGAATATATTTGATATCACTGTTAAGAAGTTCATTTTCAGAATTAGGTTCACTTTGCTTACTTATTTCTCCTGGTATTTCCAAATACAGAGATTTTTGCTCCAACTTTTGATGCCAATTTCTAACCTGCTTTGGGCTACTCCTTACCATTCCATTTGCAGAAATACAACATTTCATCACAACCTCATTTCCCTGCAGTGCTTAAGAGCAAACAATTCAGAAGATTGGAAGATTGGTGGATCAGAAGATCCACCAGCACCAGAATGAATGATATCTCCCTTCTACCCATAAGTCCAACTAAGAAATCTTATCCCACTTTTCTTACATTAGTTGCTTTGACTTCATTACAGGATTGCTTTTTAAATGCCTCTTATCAGCTGGGAACAGATTTGTTTTTTTTTGGAATTTGGAGTTTTCATTCCTGTATGATCATCTGTAGACTAAAGCTGAAGATTTTGAGCAAATTGCTTTTGATATGTTTCAACATTGCAAAATGAACACGTATTTCTGTCATTTATAAGCTCAGATGTAGAACCACCTCACTGTGTCCAGTGTGGTTTATTTATTAGATAAAACATTTAACCAGGCATAAGGTGATGCTTGCATTTTGGTCAAGGATTATTTGCAAAGTGCGGCAGGAAATCTGAATTAAAACAGTTTAATAAACATCAATCCTGAGGTATGTGTTTATATCCCATGCTGCTCCTTGCTTACTTTTCCCCAGAAATGCCCACTGAGCATCCATGAGGCATTTCTGAATTTGAAGAAAATGTAATATAAATGCCATTTTATCAGTACAGCTCAGAAGACTGTAGATTCCAGGGACTGCCTGTCACATACATTTCTTCTTTTTTTTCCCTATAGTAGCTCGGCAGATCTGCAACCATGAGGATTCTTTACCTGCTTTTCTCTCTCCTCTTCCTGGCACTCCAGGTTTCTCCAGGTAAGATGAAAGAGGAGCTAAAGGGTGGCATTTTACCACTGAAATGCTTATCCCCCTGGATACGTGGGGGGAGGATAACGACTGGATTATGGGAAAGGGTTTGCTTCGTGAGCTCACCTTTCAACATGGCCAAACCTGCACAGCAGTCCTTAAGGCAGCGGAGTGAGTGGGGCTGCATTCGCCTTGCCTTGCAGAATCAGAGGGTAGGAAATTTGTTGCTGTTGTTGCAGGGTTGTCTTCGCCCAAGAGGGACATGTTGTTCTGTAAAAGAGGTTCCTGCCACTTTGGAAGGTGTCCCAGCCATCTAATCAAAGTTGGAAGCTGCTTTGGGTTCCGTTCCTGCTGCAAATGGTGAGTTTGACATTCACTGATGTTCATCCATTGCATGAGTAGACAAATACATTTTGCCCGAGATGCTGCTGAATGTTCAGTCTGGATTTATGAAAGAAACAATATATTATGAGGGCAGCCTGGTGTAAGTTGCTAGCAGAGCTAGCTGAAATGTGCACCACGATGTGTCCAGACACAAAGGGTAAAGTATGGCCATAGATGCCAGCCATGTGCAATCTCAGCTCTTTGACCTCTTATAGCTCCTCTGCCAGAGCAAAATATCAGGGTTTCAAATTTTCAGAACTGGGCTGTTATGGTGCATGGGGAACAATAGGGTTGCACTGCAGGGTGGACACAGATCTGAGTGCAGTCAAGTGTGTGCAAAAAGAGAAACTGCTTCAAAAGAAAATCTAATATCATTGGGATTGAATGCACTCATCGCAAGACCAGGGGATACCAATTCAATTCCCTGCTTTTCCTAAAGCAATAGCAGAGCACTCCTCCCAGTCAGATAGGACTGCACAAGGCTGTCCCAATCTGACTTTCATGTGACATTAGATATTTCAGAATGTATATAACAAGAGGAAGACATGCATGGATTGAGAGTGAGTAGGAAAGGAATGTAAATACAAAAATAATCTGATTTTTTTTTTCTCTTTGTGCAGGCCATGGAATGCATAAAAACTTCATGAGTCCATTCAAGAGCTTTGGAAAATTCTTCCAGGAACTTGCTTTGAATCCCCTTCATGCTACAGCAAAACCTCAGCATCAAGAAAACCCCTCACATGTTTAATGCAATATGTTTTATGTTATAGAGTAAATACAAATATCTTCTGCATTACCTTTCTTCCTCTTGAATAAATTGTCATTGCATAGCATCTATACTGGTGTCAGTTGTGTATTAGGGTATTAGGAAACATTCCTTCTCATAAAGAGCAGTGATGCAGTGGCACAGCTGCCCAGGGAGGTGGTGGGGTCACCGTCCTTGGAGGTGTGCAATGTGGAGATGTGGCACTGAGGGATGTGGTTGGTAGGCATGGTGGGGTTGGGCTGGGGTTGACCTGGGTGATCTCAGAGGTCTTTTCCAACCTGAATGATTCTATGATTATATGCATGGATTGAGGGTAACAGCTCTGTCTGGGTAGAAAATCACAGCATTTGTATATCCTGTTTGTTTGCACTTGTTTACAAGCAAGCTTATCCTCAGGTGTCTCAACCAACTTCCAGTCTTCTGTGACATGATTTCTTATACAGTGATAAAATAATTCATTTCCTGGGTTTTTTTTTCCTCATTATTTCTCACAGGGATCCTGGTGGCAGTACTGGGGCTGTCCAGTGTTAGAGTAGTAACTGGTACAGCTTGGACCTGCTGGAAATAGGGGTGATCAAGGCTGAGGAGCAGCCTGAGGACCTATTGGAGCTGCCATCCCATGTGGAGGGGAATCACAGGGAAGTTGGGGCAGGTGTGGTGGCAGGGACGTCATGCCAAATTGAGGCAGCATGGAATCTAATATAGCCCTAAGTAGCATAAGGAGTTGACATTCACTTAGACCTCCTTCCCTTCTTAAACACTCCTAGAGCTTTCCCATATGGACTGGTGTCACAGGAGATGGGATTTCTTTGGGTCCAGCAGGGATACTCAGCTGGAAGCCAATGCAGGCATCAGCCCCAGGGCTATGGGAAGGGCTACCCACCCAACTGGGAAGTCAGAGGAAGGGAAGTCAGAGAAAGAGGACCAACAGTGACTTATTTAATAGGAAAGGCTTCAATAACAACTTGCTGAGATACTTGCACTAATGGGTGTACACACATGCATTTAATTATACAGGGCTGAGGGCTGCATTTGCTGAAAGGTTGAAGTCATTGCCTAATGGTGGAGAATCCCAGCAGTACAATCCCAATTAGTCTAGACAGGCAGAGAGGTAAAGACATCCTGCTTTAATTCCTGCTGGACTGCATGTATCCAGGTCAAGGTACATGGGTCTCATTGGAGATCTCACCTTAAAAAGGAAGCTGGAAAGGCAAACTGGTGGAACTATTCCTTTCCAAGAACTACATAAGTCTCCTTGCAGGCTGCTTGTGGGATAAAGCCTCTCCATCAGGCATGCGGGGCTGGGAGAATGGTGGGTGCTGTGGAACTGGTTGTTTACAAAGGTGGATAGTGATAGGACAAGGGGGAATGGTTTAAAACTGAGACAGGGGAGGTTTAGGTTGGATATTAGGAGGAAGTTTTTCACACGAAGGGTAGTGAGGCACTGGAACAGGTTGCCCAAGGAGGTTGTGGATGCCCCATCCCTGCAGGCATCCAAGGCCAGGCTGGATGTGGCTCTGGGCAGCCTGGGCTGCTGGTTGGCGACCTGCACATAGCAGGGGGTTGGAACTGGATGAGCAGTGTGCTCCTTTGCAACCCAGGCCATTCTATCATTCTATGACTGTCAGCTGATGAGGGAGATGGAAGATCCATCACACTGTGTGATGGTACCTCCAGGATGGATTGGATGGGCAGCACTGGCCTTGCTGCCCCAGTGCTGATGGGGAAGAGGATCCCTGGGCACCCACTGGCACAAGGACAAACTCACACTCCCCAACAGCTGCAATGCCAAACTGCAGGCTTTTATTCAGAAGGGAAAAGCAGCATCTGGGCAAACAACTGCAGGTCCAGGGCGGGATGTCTTCAGCTTCCAATGCCACGGTCACACCATGGGAGACTGCCGAGGTGGGAAGGGGAGAGGTCAGTGGGGGATGTTGCCAGAAGTGAGAAGCGAGAGCAATGTCCTGCTTGGTATGTCCAGCTCTTCAGCCCCATATTCTGCAGAAAGAAAACATGCTGTGAAATCATCTCTTTCTATTCTTCTTCTTTTAATGTTTCTCGGTGTGTATCCCTTCTCCTGGATAACGACACACTGACACTAATCGCAGCGCAGGTAATAACCAGCCTGCATAGCAGACAGCTTGGTTTCCAAGGTTTTGCAGAGATGTCAGGGAATGGGTTCTGTGCCTCACACTACCCAGGGGAGAGCCTTCACTCTGCACCAACCTGGGCAAGCATTTACAAAACCGGCAGGCCAGGCAGCCCTGTGTATCTGAGGGCAACGGGGAGGCCAATGTCTGACCTGGGGTTCCTCCAGCTCCTTTAGTGGACAGGTCATTAAACTTTCTCCTTTCCTCCCCAAGACCCTGCCCTGGATCACATATAGCTCAAAGCCAGGCTTTGGGCATCAAACACAACAACAGCTATTTCTGCCATTGCAGTAGCAGGTCCAATTTCATCCCTAATCCCAAAGCTTACGTTTTACAGCAAAGTTGAAACGTTGAACATTTCCCAGCGATTAGTGAGAGGGAAGGGCACTTCAGAAACGCGCAGAAGCCATTCCGTTGTAAACAGTCTTCCCTTTTTCCTAGAGCCTGGGGGGATCCTGCACAGAACAAGAGAAAATGAGTGAGGGATACCAGTACAAACTGTGTGTGCTTCTAGAATATCTGGCCCATGGATCTCAGTCTAACATGTGCACAAAGCACCAAACCCCAAAGCCCAGCCACTCATCCAAACCACAGAATCACAGAATGGCTTGGGTTGGAAGCGACCTCAAGGATCATAAAGCTCCAACCCCCCCACCACAGGCAGGGCAGACAACTTACACATTTAATTCTAGACAAGGCTGCCCAGGGCCCCATCAAACCTGGCCTTGAACACTTCCAGGGATGGACAGGGCATCCACAGCCTCTCTGGGCAGCTGTTCCAGCACCT